GTTTTCCAAAAATTAATCAATTTCTTAATCATGAATACACCCACTTCTGTATCAAATATTCTTAACCAAATTCCCAATTTATGTTGCATTTGCCAAGAACCAATTAAAAAACTAGTCGCTGTCTTGGAATGTGATCATATCTTACATTTCAATTATGCTATTAAATTTTTTGCAATTGGTGAAAATATTATCTGCCCTGTTAAAAATTGTCAAAATTGAATTAAAAATATAGAAGTAGTTGAAAAGGATATCAGTAATCTTGCAGAAGTTTTAAAACCTAAAAATACTCCTAAAGTTAGATTTTTTTTTCGAGAAATTTCTAAAGATTTACCCCATTCTGATGCATAATCTGAAATGGAAAAAATATCTTCCTCAACTATACAGGGATTTCTCCTCTTATACGTAAATATAGATCAAGCTAAAGAATTACTCACTCACTCGGAGAAAAATGTGGTTTGTGCAAAAAAAGAAGTCGTCTTGTCTTACTATCAGTTCGAGAAAGCAGATGCAGAAAAACTTAAAGAGTTACTAAAGATATCGATCCCCTTATGCATGGCACAGAGTAAAATAGTTGCTGAAGTTAAGAAATTACTCCCCATTGATACTTCTATTAATGTTATAAAGAGAAGAATTGCTACAGCTCAAAAGATTTATGATATTTTTAGCACAATTGGGGTCTTTGCCTTAAAAATCACATTATAGAACATATAATTTACTATGTTCCATAACGTGATTTTCAAGGCAAAGACCCCAATTGGTGAGGATAAGATCCAACGAATCAGAAATTTCAGCATATCAAGTATTGGGGCTTTCAAAAAAGATGAAATTGAGTTTATTAAAACTAAAGATAACAAATCTAAATTTATAATAGAAAGGGAAAGTTCGGAAATATAGACAGACTTCGATGTATTGCAGAGCAATGACCCAAAGGGTCTTAATTCTGGTACAAATTCTTTAGAGTCGAATTATACAATTGATATATTATATATGGATGATACAGAGATGATATTAGACAAATACTGATTTTCATATCATATGATATCATGCGGTTTTGGCTCGACATCATATAATCAAGTGTATTATTGCGAAGCAATGATAGCACAAAGTGCCAAATTTCCAATTCCCCTTCGGGTCTAAATTTGCTGATCTAATACTATAAAAGGTTATAACTCTTTAAGCCTAGCCTAAATGCGTATACTGTATGTATCAAGGCTTTATTTTTTAACAATTTTAATAAAGTTATGGATAGAAACAAAATAATAATATATACTGTATCTATACTCAACAATTACACGATCAGTTAAAAAAAATAGAGAGCCCACAAGACCCTCTCTTTATTTAATAAAACATTGTTGCCGAACATTATACAAATAAAATATATATTTATTATATAATAAAAAATACCTTTAACAGGTTAGGTTGGTGGAGTTTACATTTGATCTAACATTTCGCTTCATTAACTAGGGTTCAACCAATCATTATCATCATTTTCCTCATCACGCTCTAAGTTTTCTTTTGACATTTTTCCCCAAGTCTCATTATTTAATTTTTAGTAAAATAAAAAACTTAATTCTGATAATTATATTTCAGCACAAATGTACTGGCACAGTACAAAGTTTATTTACAAGATAAAAATTCTTTTGGCTTGTATTGATGCTTTGATTTAGAATAGTTGGGGGTGGTGCTATCATTAGTCTAGAGGGTGGTGCTATCATTAGTCTTAAGAGTGGTAGCATTATTAGTCTTGGAGGTGGTAGCATTGTTAGTCTTGGAAGTAGTAGCATCATTAGTCTTGGGGGTGGTGGCATTGTTAGTCTTGAAGATAGTACTATCTTTAGTGCTCATTTCATGGTTCTAAATAAAAAATATAGTAAGTAAAATTTATTTTCATAGTCGCCGTTAAATAAAATAATATTACTTTAAAAATAAATTATGATCAGGTAAAAAAATTATATATGAGCAAAATAACCCACCTACAAGAAGCAGTAAAATTGCTTATTTTTATACCAACCATTCGCTAGATCTAAAAAACTTGCTAGTTACGTGATTAGTAATTTGCATTACTCTAATATTGTCAGATCACACTTAACAAAGCAACTCTGTTTTGGTTGTAAAGCCCAAATACTAAATATATTTTAGCGTCCTTTTAGGAACATAGACCCCTTAGAATCGACACCTGCTACTACCAAGTAAAAAAGTCAACGATCTCAGTGATCTGGGAATTCCAAGTTCCTGCGACATATGAATTTTGATAAAACTACTGATAAAGAACGTTATACTCCTTGTCCTTATAGCCTTTTAAAGTCCCATTCTTATCGTGAAATTATATATAAGGTAAGAAAGGTTCTAATCGCTATTCATTATTAGCACTACTTATTAACTTAATAAAAAATTAACATGGTAAATTAATTCTGCATTAAAGTAATATTGCATAAAATTTAATACAGACCAATCTTGATCCCTACGATTAGGTGAACCATCACGGAATGATCACAGCTTTTTTGTATATCTAGATCGACCTCACTATTGGGGTGAAAGTGTTTTGGAACAACATGAAAATATTGGAGAAATACATCAAGTTAACAATGCTTTGCAATGAAATTTTATGAAATTTCTCATGAAGTAAGGAGGATTTTTATATTTTTTGAAAAATTATAATATTTTATGAAAATATATTTTATAAAATTATATA